TTTCCCTATAGGCAAGTATTCTCCAACGTATCCTTAGGGGCAAGCATGGTTTCCCTATGGGCAACTACTGTCATTTGTTTTAGTACGTCCCGCCTGGGATGTGCTGGAGCACGGGCTCCATCCTTAAATCCTCCCCTCCTCTTAAAACCCCTTCCCTTCCCTTCCCTTCCCTGCCTGCCTGCCTTCCTACCTGTGAGGTGCCGGAGGGCGGTGCCGTGCGCCCACAGACTCAGCACCTGCTGGACGGACAGGTTGATCATGCTGCTGTCTCCCGCCTCCGCCTTCATGGCCGCGGTGGAAACGGCCTGGACGGCTCCCTCAGCGCCGGGGTCGGGCCCTGGCGGCCGGCTCTGCCTCCGGGGCCGGGGAAGGTGGAGCGGGGAAGGCCGGAGGAGGGGGCTACGGTGGATGGGGTGGGCTCCCCACGGCGGGGGAGACATTGAGGACGGCAGCGGGACGAAGGCGGCGGCGGCGGGGGTAACCGAGGAGGCCCTCCTTCCCTCCCTCCCTCTCTCCCTCAGGGGTCCGGGGCCGAGTGAGGGAAGGGAGACGGAGGGAAGAAGCGCCAAGACGCCTCGGCACCAACGGCCATCCCTCCTGCTGCTGCCACCGCCGCCGCTTTTCCAAGCCTCCTCCTCCTCCTCATGGCCCCCCGCCCCTCAGGCGCCCCCCTCAGGCGCGAGCAAGGGAGGCACCCGCGAGACACCAGTAACCGCCTCTCTTCCCTCACCGGCCACTGGCCAACGGCTACTCCCTCCGCCTCCGAGCGCGAGCGGGAGGGAGGGCGCGCGCGCACGAGAGAGAGAGACAGAGAGAGACAGAGAGGCGGTCCTTGCTGGGAGCCGCGCACGCGCGACACACACACTCCGAAAGCTTCTGCCGGCTATGGCTGCTGGAGCGAAAGGAAGGCGGGAGCCTCGGAGGAGGCGGAGCGTGTGTACGGGGAGCTGAGTGCGCCTGCGCGTTCGCTCGTTCGTCGTTGGCAGAGAGCGGGAGCGAGCTGACGTTGGCGGGGTTGTGTTATTATGAGGGAGGCTCTTAGAGCGAGGAAGATGGGTCTGTCAGTGTGGAAGAGAGGGACCTAGAGAGCTCACTAAGCACGAGCTGAGGTTGTCGGGGTTGTGATGATAATAATAATA